TARSGCTTAGCTTTAGTGAAAAATAGGCTTTGTTGTCACCAAATTTATCTTTAAAACGTGAAGTCTGAAACAAGTAATAATAATCCAAACTAACACTCTCTTTATGTTGATGCTATTTACAAAGTAAAAATTCAGTCAATTGGACATTTCACAGATGCTTTCTGGGCAGGCCACGAGAAGATTGAAAAAATATTGTTTTTTTATTTCTATAGAACATTGTTTTCATATAATCGTAATAATTACAAAGGTCAGGATGTTTTTTTATAATGCCGAAATAGAGACGATAGGTKAACCTAATCAAATTAACGTCATGCATGTTAGGTATTTTAGCTGATTTTTTTTCATCCAAGGTTTGTTGCGCTGCACAAAAATGGTCACGACGGAACCTACCAGCTGGGAGAGACGAACAAGATAGTTTTCTTTTCTGCCGCAAGGGCCTACAGTACTTGATGTACAACCCTGATCTGATATTTTTAGGAGGAGCCGACGGGTTCCTGGAAGAAATATATCTGTTCCAGAAGTACATAACCAGAAGTGTCCATCTCCCCTTAACAAATCGAAATCGCTTTTCTATGGTCTGTACGCACAGGCAGCCCAAGCTAAGCATTTAACTAGCAGATTATAGCAATATCTATAATGCATGTAAATACGACATTTTTGAAAGAAAAAATAAGTAAAAAACATTTGTCTTACCTTATGATGTGGTCTTAGTAATGAATTAAGGCGTAATTTGCCGTTTTTCTTTGATATCTCCCCTCCTTTACTTATATCACTGATATCAAAGAAAAACGGCAAATTACGCCTTAATTCATAACTAAGACCACATCATAAAGTAAGACAAATGTTTTTACTTATTTTTTCTTTCAAAMATTTCGTATTTACATGCATTATAGATATTGCTATAATCTGCTAGTTAAATGCTTAGCTTGGGCTGCCTGTGATATTATTGGGGAGATGGACACTTCTGGTTATGTACTTCTGATCTGTTCTTATGTCCCAGCGAGCTGTAAATCACAACTGGTTGCCAGCGAGAAATTCAAGAAAAAAGAACTCTCCAGGCAAGGAAAACTTTTTTAATAATTTTGGCCAGGAAAATAAAAGTTTCCTATACTAATAAAAAAATATAAGCCGTTTTTGACCACATAAAAACGTTATATAAGCCTTTTTTTACCTTTTTTGCCAGGAACAACATTATTTTAAARAAGGATTAAGGGCGCCACATTTGCTTTGGAGATTGTCAACCCAAAATCCCTGACAGGGAAAAAATCGTACAATTACAGCTATTTAGAAGAACAGACAGCGTCGGCTTCTCGTGTATGTTGACTATATTTTTGTGTCTTGCCGTCCTTTTTTATAAACACAAAGTCAAATAACGTTGGATCGCAAAAATTAGGTGATGTCATTAATGCTGAGACCGCAAAGGACTTTCGGTATTCAGAAATTGGAATCATTTTGCCCTGGCATGTTACTTTATACCATCACTCATAAAGAACGTCCTTTGATTCAGCGCAAAAATTCTTGGCACTGAAACATTTCGGTTATACTCATAATATTTGCTCTCTTTCGGTCTTTGCCTTTAGTAATCCACTGGTGTATTAGTATAGATAGACGATTCAGTCAAAGCTCRATTAATAAAAGTGAATTAAGTCTTTCTTACGATTTGTTTGAATAAAAATGTCGACAGCTGGAAATCATGCAAACAAAAATGTTCTGTTTGCGTTGTACAGAATATTGTTAGAAATTATTAGTCTATTGTTCAATTTGACGCATTCAGAGAGTCAAAAAGGGCTAAYTAGCACATTTTATGACTTTTTTTTTCGGCAGTGCAATAGTCATTATAATCAAAAATTCCGCGTCTTCTTTCATGTGTTAAGGAAATTATAAATAGTGTTTCACTGAAATAAATACAAATATTTTTGCGTTGTTATCCAAATTAACATGGACTCATGAAAGTTAGTTTATGGTATTTTTTATAAGTGTATACAAAACTTCCCTTTGATAAGGATTTAGAAAATTCTTTGAGAATTATTTGATATGTCTATTTAATGCGTATACAAGTCAATACAAGTTCGATCAGATATAAAAGAGGCGGGCCAATCAACGCATTGCACTATTTAACGGCTAGTACAAACTGCGCGATAAACAACAGAATTACTAATTCAACAGTATTTAGTGGTATTGATGGTGCAYACTTCACCATTTATACTCTAGTAAAGTGCATTYGGCACGGGTGATTTGGTGGACGAAGCAAATCGAAAGCAAAACTAAACTTATCAATGATTATAAGGCGCTGTTACGCTGAATCTCGTTGCTCGATCGCCTGTACTGAAAAAGCATTGCACGTTTTAACATAATCGGCGGGAAACCGAGTCGGGAAAAGTTCCATATAAAATGAAATGTTTCAGATGTCATTCCTTTTTGAAACCGCTGTCATAACAAGTTCACCAGAATGTTTCAGCGTGCAATAGCGTCGTTTGATGAGTACCTTAGAATTGTATAGGCGGTAAGGTTCTTGCATATGTTAATACATTATCACATATACCGATAGAGTATAAAAGAATCCAAGGCAATAGGTAGTGACATTAATCAACTAGAAGGACAGGCAACATGAAGACCGTTTTTGTTCTGCTAGCTGTCGTTTTCCTTGCTTTCGCTGTAAATGATGGTGCTTGTCAAAGGAAAGGAAAAAGAATCTTTGAGGTGAGCTCACACTATTAATAGCTATGCTGCACGTTTACATTCTGTATTTGAATATTCATTTGGTCAAAATAAATAGAATGCCTGTAATCGCCTTTTTTAAACCGGAGATGTATAAAATACAAGACAGTTCAAAAATATTGCTGTGATACCATTTCCTTTTTTAAGAACTTTTTATCGCCATATCTTCAATGTTTTCATACCATTAAATTTGTTACGGCCAACGCCTATGTGAAAAATACTTTTTTGTCGTGTTCTCCCACGGTATCATTTAACAAACAATTATCATGGAATGAGCACCACTTTGTGTAGACGTCTAACATGAAATCATCGACTGCCGTTCTGTTTGTGGCTGTTTCTCTCGTTATTATGAATGAGGGTAATTGTCAGTGGTGGTCTAGGCCACGTAAAGGAAAGCGAATCAGTATTGAGGTGTGAGAATTCATTTAATCAAGTTATAAATAATGTTTTCTATCGTGAGACGATGTTACAAAATCTGTTGTATCTCGGGTTTCCCTTGTCGACTATTACTGTTTTTTATTTAGCATTTCCATATATTCCCCTTGTCGTTCTTCTTCAGTGTGATTGTTCTCATKTTTCCGAAATAAAGGTAATGAATATTAAAATTTTTTGAACAAAAAAAACTTGTCTTTTGTTCATATTGCGCTAAAGATGTTCTAAGTGTGTTCATTAGCAAATGTCTTGTTATTGTTATTAGGAAGAAAAGACACTTCACAATTGCTGGAACGGAACATTTTTGCAGTTTCGATTTTAGTTTTTTAAGTATATTGACCCAAGGTCAACTTTCGTAATTTTACACATAACTTCGTTTTTTTAAATTTGCTGTATTCGGAAAAATTGCAATACCGATTACTTACCGGAATTTGATTTGGGTCAAAACTGAGTTTGAAAATTTGAAAAACATTTTCTGCAAGACAACCAATATGTTACATCCTTTCACACCATCCCATTTATACATGTCTTAGATTGCTAGATACACCACTGCTGCAAATAWACTCAGTATTCAGTTATCCCAGTAGTACTATAAATCCTTTCCAGTATAGATTTAGTCATGTCTTATGGTAATTCTTGTAGGATGATTTAAACGACGAGTTGACGATTCAACAGGTCTCCAAAAGAGTTGCCCGCATGGAAAAGTATCTCTGTGAAGCAGCAGAAGAAATGGGATGCAGACGATGACACTAGCAATCTAACCTGGCATTGACCAGTTAAAGTGCAATAAAGCATGCGTCAAATATTATTTTACTGAATTTCTTTGATAGACAGTAAATTGTTTAAATAAGACGTGCTTTCTTAGTGTTCCGCTTCAGTGCTCTGAAATTAAAACTGAAACAATCTCAATCCCAGAAAATCTCGCAGTCCTCCAGCAATACATAGAGTTTATTTCATGGAAAGTGCGACGTACGGGATTTTATTCACGAGTTGTTTGCATCATACAACGAACGAGCGAGGAACGAGCGAGTGAGTTTATGATGCAAACAACGAGTGAATAAAATCCCGTACAAAGCACTTTCCATGCTATAAGCTGTTTATTATATATATAACGAGACTTTCATTCGGCATACTTTTTATGCACCTATCAGCGGCTTCCCCCTGGGGTAGACCCCCGGGACAACCAGGGAGATAGGTGGGAAAATATAGGAGTATTGCATCCAGTTGTTCCCCCTGGGGTCGGGAAAATTCGTTAAATTKTTTTCAGGAATGAAAACTAATGTGGGGGATTGTAATGACATTTTTTTAACACTGRGATCGCCAAGGAGAATTGACTTTAACTCCAGTTAAATAAAACAGTTCCTATAACAGTTCGTATACTATAATATTAATAAATGGTTGGAACTAGCGGTAAACTAGTGAARGATTAACGTCCKAAACGTCAGTAAGTCATTTCGCCTACTTTTTTACGGTGTTAAACTTATCTTTTTTTTGCACAACTATAATATTAAATTACATRTTTTTTTCGCGCTACCTTTGTTATCCGGCATATTGGACAATACCCATAAATCCTTTCACGTCTACTTGTGTCAAGATGGCTGACAAAGGTGAAACTTTGCATTGTGAACATTACATGTAATTTCTGTGTCAGTATAATACTTGTTTTCAACTTAAATGAGGGGGAATTGTTATTTAATGACTGCTTTGACTAGGGGACATTGAAAAGACGCATTACCCTTCCCCTGGGGAAAATAATCAAAATTGTTTTCAAATTTTTACAATCTCCCTGGTTGTCCCGGGGGTCTACCCCAGGGGGAAGCCGCTGACAGGTGCATTA